AAAAAAGGGGAATTTTTTTTTTTTTTTTTTTAAAAGGAAGCACACATTTGGCTTTCTACTTCCCACAGGTAAAAAAAGCAGCTTTGCTGGCTGTGGGTCATTCAGGATAACCTTCATGGACTACTGAAAAAGCTTGCCTTCCTTCTAAAAATAAGGATTCTCCAAAATACCTACGAGACTTTAATTAAGACACACAGACCCCGGCAAAAAAAAACCAAGGAGCTCTTCAAAATACCTACATTTATTACATCAAAAACCAGAGTTCTAACAGTTTGCATGCTTTCTTTTCTTTCCAGGCTGTCCCAAATATGACAGCAGGGCGGCAGAAGTGTTTGCATGTATCCAAGCGAAACCATGGAATAAAAGTCCAATAAAAAGATATGTTTATACAAAACTCATACAGTCTTTAATTAAATGCAACGTAAGCGGTACACACAGATTGATACGTACAAAAAGACAGATGCATAAAATGAAAGTTTGTATTTTACATTTCTCGTGCCTTTTGTTGAAATGTGGAACATTTCTCTTCGTTACCAATACCATGGAGGGAATAAAACACAGCAGCATTAACTCAGATTTCAGCTCTTATTTACAGAATTTAGATGGTAACATTGTAGAATATTCTTGCTTTCATAAAAAATATCTTATAAAAGCTAACTGTTATCTGCTGTTATTGGAGAGCTCTGCTGATGTCAGCTGAGCATCGCTATTCACAGCTTGATCAACTGGTTATTGTTACACAGTTCAGGCTGCGCCTGCAATGATTATTTCAGTCAGTTCCGAGAGACGCTGATCCTCTCTGACCTCATCACCTTTCCTAGTTCTCCAACAGACCCTTTAAGGGTTTTCCAAATGTCAGTGCTAATGCTGGCCGAAGCATTAACACAGCAGGATAAAGACATGACAACCAAAGGGCATTAAATATAAAATACTTAACCATTTTATTCTTCTGATTTTTTCAACTTTAATTTTGCCTTTTTTTCATGTGAGGAAGCTTTGGCTTTTCCAGCTTCCTTTGTAGTTTCAGCAGTTTTCTTTTTTGGCTTTTGCCTTCTGGAACGTATCAGGTCTTCACGTCCGAGTTCAACCATTTTTGATTCCCACGACTTCATTTCGTTTTCATACCGAACCTTGTCATCTTCAGCAAGCTGCAGGTATGGCTGGAAGGAAATTATGTATCGGCAGTTACGGAAGGGGCTTTGTCTGCGTAACTGCCGTGTCACATCCTCCCTTTTGATACAAAGGTGACTCAGAGCAAGACCTGCGCAGTGCGCATCCCAGGTGCTCACCTCCAGAAAATGCAAAAACCATCAAACTTGCACAAAAATACAAAACCTTAGCACTGAATTATGGTTATGGCAACAGATGGCCATTCCTGAAGAGGAAGTTTATTCAATATGACTACTAACAGGTAAGGCTTTTTATTTGAGTATTAGTTTGAGAGAGCTGGCTTATGGAAGGAACAGGAATAGATATTTCTGCAGAACTATTTAAAAAATTGTTTTCTACAGAAAAAACCATGTGCATGTTCTAAGTACACATTCAAAACAATCCAGAAGAGGGGCATTCAGGAGGAAGGACAGAAAGGTACGGAATACTTGAAAATATGAAGGTGCAGATGAGATTTCAGTATAACACACCTTCAGTTTTCATATACGCATCTGCAGGTTTGTATTTCAGTACCCCAAGACAACAGAAGTTAATAAATTACGGTATGCACCTAACTTGTAGATTTCTGTTGCTTTTACCTGCCAAAAGTCTTTCCACAAGCAGCAAATTACTATGCTGGCATTTAAAAATATTATACATCATTAGAAAAAAAAATATAATTGTTGCAAATCATTCCACCTCCCTCCCCAGATGCCACTCAGCATCCATTTCCAAGCATACAAAACTTCCATCCTATCCCACTCACTCACATGTCATCAACACTCTGAAAGAAATGGTCACTACTAGAATAAAAGTAATGACAATCTTTTTCAAGATGCAAAAATAGGATCCCAGAGTATTTTCCTCAGTATTATATTTTGAGTAACCGAGTTCAAGATTTTGTATGACTTTATTAATTTTGATTCAAGTTTGTAATTTTCCAATTAGATCAGAGCTTCATCAACATCCACTGACATACCTGCTTTTGAGGACTGGACAGTTTTCGCCATGTGTCATATAATTGCTTCAGCTTTGCCTACAGGATATAGAATATGCAATAGATTAGGATTATTTTATCAGCAGACTGACCACAGGGGGTTACAGATGAACGCCACACTAGTAAAAGCCAAGTATAAACTAAGGTAAAAAAAGCAAAAAGTCACATGGGCTTAACACCCCACTCTCTTCAAGTAGGTAAATAATAAATTACACCGTTCAACACATTGCTGGGCATCATCTGAAACACCTTTACAGCTAATAGAAGCATGAAGCAGTGTAAATTACTTAGCCTGCTGCTAAAGCAGCCAAAGAGAAGAGCTGAGCTGATTTATGGCAACATACTACACCTCACCCCACATATTGGTTTCGTTTAAACCAAGGCCTAACTTAAGCCAAGCCCATACCAAGTATTAACCACGCTCACAAGAAATTCTGTACCACTTCAGGGGTATTTCGGCACGCGTGTGTCAAACGGGGCCTCAGCTGAATGGAGATGCCTCCCTTGTACACAGAAAACCGAGGAACAAACTATTTCCACACCACCCTGATTTGGTGAGTAAATGCACAAGGTAAGGAACCCATTAGGCATACAGGGGAAGTCTCCAGTGCTTCGAGTGCTGTAATCCACCAGCGTAACTTAAATCACCCCAGAGCACAGTGTAGTGCAGAACTTGTGACTTTGCTGAGGAGATCCTGCATGTTCTGTAACATCCAGGGTGCTACAGGAGGTACAATAAGCACTGCTACAGAAATGGTAGCAGACCACCACAACCACTGGAAAAACTAATATATTTCTACACCAAAACAAAGAAAAGTAGAATTCTGTCCTCACAGAAGGAATGGATTAAGTCTGTAACACTGAAGTGCAAAAACCAGTGCAAATATTTTAGGTCTGTTTACCCACAGAGCAGTTTATATAGGACATGCCACCAGCAGTATAGCCAGAAGTTCACCACAGCCTAAAAAAACATAGCCCAAGCAAAGCATAATCCAGTCACTGAACCGTTGAACAGTCTTTCAAATGCACAGAATTCAAAACAGGTTTTCTGAAGACAATCAATCTATTTTAAAGAACAATCTTTCCCAGCTTACCACAGGTGTAGCTCCCTCACATTCTCGAAAGTTTTCTGACACAAAAATGTTAAAGCCGCTACGAGGTTTTTTAGGTTTTCCAAGCACAGTCAGTTCCTTTAAAAACAACAAGAAAAGTTATTAAATCTAAAAAGCATGCATTTTTCCAAAACTAAACTTACCAATTGTCTTTATGTTTTATACAAATATCAGACTCAAACTCATTTTTTAGTATTTTATTCTGTAAACTGGACTGTATATCAAGGTGCTTTGGTTACTTTCACCACTTGTCAAGACTAACACTGAACTAAATTAAGAAAAGCTAACAACTTAAATTTTCAGACATTAAAAAAAAAAAAAGGCATTTTATAACTGACTCTTACTTCAGCTAAATCTTCCAGAAACCAAAACCACTTACTAAATTCCACTCAGTAAGAAAGTCATGACACTAGGTTTTCTATTATCTTCGAAAGGCCCAGTTTCTGGCGTGAAATGCTGTATGCCTGCAGAGAGGAGGGCAGATACCTAACTGTGAGAGGCCAGAAGGTGGAACAGAACCAGCAGATTTCCAGGGAAACAGAACTAGATTTCTGCTATCAGCATGCTCTGCCTAAAAGGACAATGGTGAGAAAGGGGAAGTACAGCAAATTACGGATGCCACTTGCTGTTTTCCCCAAGACATCCCCATTGCAGCCTGAGTGCTGCAAGCTTACATCTGCCAAGGTATTAGGTACGCCAGCTAAATTCCTTGTGGTGCCATACTCTAAAAAAGGATCAGCAGAATTATTTGCATTAAAAAATTTCTCTAACTAGGGGGTCTTTTAAATCAAATTAATTTCACTTTTGCCACTTAGGGCAACATCACACCAGCAGTTTAATTCACAGAAATAAACAAGCAATAAATAACCCCTTCAACTGATTTTGCCACTGGACATATTGTAACATTGTACCTTTACGGATGGTTCTGTCTTTGAGAATTTATATATAAACCAGTTAAAAGGGAATACGGAGGATGATCTGTATGAATAAGCCAATAAAAGACACTAACAGACATGCCTCTGTGTAACTCTATTCAACACACCAGCAGCTACACAGAGAGCAAAGTGGAAAATGTAAAAGAAGGAAGGAAAAAAGGTTACTTCAAACAGCTACTATCTTGTAGGGGCCACTGAACTAACAGATACAAGGCCTTTGTGAAAAGCTATTTCTGGATGTCTTCCCAACCAAAAAAAGTGTTGTTGGTTCAAATGTCTTTTATTACCTATCATTCCTCAGGCAGCTTTAGGAATAGGAAGAAAAAACATAGAGAAGCTACCTGCGAGCACAGAGATATGTGCTAGTTCTGGTATTCAAGCACAGGAAAGCCACTAAAATAACGGCTAACACCAGCAATTATTTTAGTCCATGGGGTTGTTTTTTTTGTTGTTGTTGTTGTTTTTTTTTTCTTTTTTATTTCGAGAGCTGCTTTTATATTTCTAAACATGCCTCAACTCTGCTCTGTATACTAGACAAAGAGACTTCAGTTTCCACAAAGAGAAAATAAATTTGAACTTCAAAATACTTACTCTTTTTGCCCTGAATGATCTTCTTTTTGCCAGTCGTTTTCTCCTTTCTTCTTTCAAAGCTGCAGCCTGGGCCGGAGTTAGCTGTGCTTTATACGCCGTCAACTGCTCCACATACCTTTGCCAGTCTGTCTTTCTAGCGTTCTCATAAACCTAAAACGAAAACAATCACCAACCTTAAACAGAAGCTTTCAGTGAGATAAGCATGGCACCTTTAATATGACTGAAAAAGATAAATGTCCTTTTACCACACTAATTCTGAGCTATTCTAATTTCAGTATCACTACAACTTAGCAAAAAATGAAACAAAACAAGCCACCACCCCACCCAAATCCCATAACAAAAAGAAAAAAGCCACCACACCACCCCCCCCCAAAACAACAAACAAACCTACATCTAGGTAGGTAAGATACTTATATAAAAGCTTAAGCTAATTCTGAGAATTTAATTAGTCTGTATTGTCTGGTATTCTTCTAGTTGTAGAAGCAAACTCTGTTAATCCCACCCTGCCACCTCTCCCCAGCTTTAGACAGCCTGTTTTCTGAGCTCCATGCACCTGACCATTAAACAAGCTAACACTTCTAACCTACTAATAAAAAAAATACAGACTACCCTGGAACATAAGATTTTTAAAGTAAAGTATCAATTTCAGATCTGTTTAATTAGCAGAAAGGATTCAGAAGAACTCAGATGCAAAACCTGGGCTCTTCCCATGAATTATCTTAGTTAATCTGATAACATCAGACAAATCTTCAGATGCAGCTCAAAGCAACAACAATCTTCCATACAAGAAAAAAAAAGCTGAAGCTTGGTTGAAATGACTGCTCCTAAATTGTGTGTACCCACTGCAGCACACAAGTGCTCCAGTCACCGAACACACTCCTACACCAGCCAATACCAGGCACAGAAGCATCATAAAACCATGGCCTTGGTACCAGAGCATCCAGAAAAGCTGAGCTAAGTATCGAGCATCCAGGCAGACCTGAAAAATCACCATCATTTTCACCACTTCAGACACAGAAATGGAAAGGTGTACTTTACTTTAAGGCACATAGAGCCAGATGTCCAGAAGGGATGTAAGATCACTTGAATTCTCCTGAACAAAGGTATTACTTTAGCTAGAAAATGGCAATTAGTTCCTAAAAAGGTTCTAATTACTAACTGCAACTGAGTAAGAACAATCATTACTTTTCTAAAAATGGCACTTATATTCAGCAATGATTAGCAATTCCTAGAGTTGTTTTAATTATCCCTTTAAAGTGCCACTCTTACAGAAGCATCACTACCTACAACAAAAAGGAAGTTTATTAGATGAAACTTTTTAAAGAAAGGTTTTTGTAAGTTAGGTCTCTGGTTACTATCTATTATGCACAAAAAAAAGAGTTGGTCCATTCTCCAGAACTAGCTGAGGTTTCACCTCGGTTACGCATATGAAAGCAGAACAACTTTACAATACTTCTATTATTATACACGTAATGCACAGACGTATAATTAACATCCAGGAAGAAATATTGATTCCCAGCCCTAGAGCTCCATAGAGCGAGATCTATCTCATTTGTTTCTCTGGCAACAGATTAAAAATACTACAAATCAAGCCCTGTGTAGAAGCATCAAAGTGTTTTCCCCTAAGTACTGCAAAGCTCCCAGCTCTCTTCAGAATTGTTTTTATGTCTAAACCTTTGTACACAAATGCATTTTTACTGTTGTTTTAAAAAAACACCACCAACAAAAATACAACACAAAACAAAAAAATACAGAGGACACCAAACCAAGTAGAACAACCACTAAGACTTTATATAAAGTTCAAAGTACACAGGGCAAAGATACAAACTTACCTGCTTCTGTGATGCTGGTAACTCCTTCCAAGCACCTGCTAGTTTTTTAACCAGCTCCATGTTACTCATTTCTGTACATTAAAATTAGAAAACAAGAAAATAGAGATCAACACTGTATCTTTAGTAAGTATCTTCAATTTTCCCAAGGAAAGCTGTCACTGGTATCTTTTTCCCTGTACAAAAATCTTTTTTCCTCCTTTCATAACCTGCTGTGGCAGTTAAAGGGAACTGTACTATTTTTTTGGGGAAAAGAGTCCCTGCTCTTGGTTTAAACTCGAATGAAACATGCACTTATAAACCAAAGCACCATTTCAAGACAGACAGCTATTACCACTCCTCAATGGAATTGTTTTTTTTTTGTTTGGTTGTTTTTTTGTTTTTCCTTTTGAGCTGGATCCTTTTTGATACAATGCAAGATGATCTGAACTTGGAGGACGGCCAGGGAAGAAACTAAAATTAAAATTTCCAGTTCTCACTTTTTGTCAAAAAGTTTGCTGGATTTTTCAAAGCAAGTATAATGTGACCATATCCACCTCAAACAGCAAGAATGCTTGATCTTTATTAAAATAAAGTCCTTTATTTACAATATTATTCAACACAAGTAAGGTTAAAGAAGAAATAATTTCCTTCTCCCACAAACAAGAGTACGACGACTTGCATCTGCTTTGTTTTTCAGCTGACTGCCTTTGACTCTGGATCTTGCACTATGGTCATTTGAAAAGGTTTGCAGCCAGACCTGAATTTGTGAAGAGGAAAATAAAATAACAAAAAACCCCCAACAAATTTAAAAACTGAGGATGCTGGAAAGAGGCTGCAACAACTTCTCTTGAAAAACCCCTTCTAGGCTTTCCCTGTGCTTCACGCTAAAAGAAAAAAATAGATCTTCCTCTCTCCCACCTCAGGTGTAAAGTTCAGCCATCTCAACAGTGGAAAAGCAGAACTAAACTCTTGTCAGTACCCTGACTTCCAGAATACTGGAAAAACAAGACAGAAAGACAGATGGGGAGCTTTTAGTCCAAGTATACCAAGTTTAAAACCTTTGACAATACGATGCTTTGCCAATGATAAAAGAAAAAAAAATTATCAGGTTATTTTTGAACATTACCTCTATTGGAACAAGAAAGCCCCAAATTCCTAATTTGTGTATGAGATACGGTACATTTATTTTCAGATTATTTAAATTTTGGAAACACATGGAAAACACTGGCGTGGCATTTAACTACAGTAAGCTCTGCAAGTTCAGTGTCTCAACCTTTCACACTGTTGAACAAAAACTACCAAGCAAAACCGGGTACCAAATGGTTTCCCCTACTTAAATTTACCTCATGATTTGCCCAGTATAACCATAGTTCTTTAAACATTTTAACATCTATTTCAATGGCACTTTCAAAATCAGCACAGTTTTCCATTTTGCTGCTCTCTGACGAGGAGAGTGACTGCATTACCGATAAATAAAGTTTTTGATAATAAATTAAACATATTCACAGGAAACAATTAACCACTTTTACCACAGAAAATACATTTACTTTTTCTCCCATATACACTGAGGCAATCCAGTACATACAGTTTTTAAATCATTAAGCATAAAAATAAAATCACATACAGTTTGTTATATCAACAATAGTGTACTTCAAATATACAGATTTAAAAATAACTAAAAACCACAAATATTGTTAACATGTATTGCCCAGGTGAGTCATTTCTTCAAATATTTTTAAAGTTACACGCAAACGTAACTTTGTTTGAGTTACTAAATAGAAAAGACGAAGCTAATGAGCGTACAGGCAGTAAGTATAGCAATCCTGCATTTACCTTTGGTATGGTACGGATAACAGGGTGGTTTTGGCCTCCTGAAATCAGGGCAACGTACCTTATGACGTTTAGTTTTACAAAGCAATGCTTTGTTCCAGTTTTATTTAAATCACACATTCTGGAGGGAATGTATATATCGTACATATCTAGAGCGACGGTAGGTTTATAACCAAATCTCCGGCACACTCGAGGTGCTCAGACTTGGTATTTCTAAAGGCGAGGTAAAAGCCAACCGCCTGGCAGCCGCCCGGCGCCGAGCCCCCGGCAGAAGCACAGACTCACAGCACGTCAGGGACGGGAAGGGCCCGCGAAAGACCACCCGGTCCAGCCCTCTCGTACCTGGGTTTTTTTGCCGAAAAGCAGAATGATTTTCTTTCAGGAAGCGGAAATAGGCGGTCAGAGGCCGCTTCGGGCGCTGGTCCGAGCTGATCCCCCTG